ACAAAAAACGTACATCACCTGCTGGGCCTTTCAAATTTTATATCTGCTAATTTTAACTTAACTTTAATCATGCATTTTCGGTAACCGGTTGCACTATACACATAATGTTTCTGGATGGGTTAAAATTCATGCATAACTGCTTTATAGAGATTGCCAAGATTATTCAAATAAATGTTCATCATTGGGGGTTAACTAACACCCGCCGACATGCAGCAGCAGGGAGTTCCTCCGACAATACATTACAGTACGCATTTAAACAACCCTAGTTTCTAACAAAATAAAGCAAAAAACAACATATGTGCACAGAGTACGTTTTTACATAGAATTACTTGAATTATCATAACTCGAAGTCAGTACCCCAACACATGGGACACTGTGCGTTATGCACCGGTAATAATCCTGACAAAAGTTTGTCATAGGAAAGACAATATCAGCGATGTAAACACTTGCGAAATGAAGATGAATTAAAATTTGAAATATGAAAAAATCTATTAATTCCCCATATTATAAGGTATTTGTTGATTTTAAGTGACATACATTAGTGAAGAGGTTTTGCTCTTCATGTAGCGACAAAAAAGAATACATTGAGGCTGCGTAGAAGGCATACCCAGGATACATGTCTGTCTACGGAGCTAACACAGTCAGGCATGAACAAAAATGAAAGTATGGTATCTAAATATTATTTAATTATTATCAGCTATTTTACGGTAAGTGGTTTTTCTCACCATTTTGGGGTAGCTTTTGTACAAAAAGACCATTTTTTTTGTTATTAATATGTCCAGGATGATGCCCAGGACTGCAATATTTGACTACTGTAGACCTACTAGTATTGTTCAGAAGCTGGGGTTGCATTAAGCTGTATGAAAAAATAAGGTTTTCACAAAAAAAAAAAAATCAGAGGTTGTACTATATATGAAGTAGACCTATACACGAGTATATACGATACACATATGTATGTATATGCATGTATATGTATGTATATTTGTATATATATTAAATGCTATATTTTTCCAGATTCTAGTTAACTTTCATGACATATTACTATTATTATTATTATTTAGGTCCTGAAGAGCGAAGCCTCGCGAAATTCCGAGTCGCTCTCTGATATGTATCGTGAACTTTCAATATTTCTAATACAATTATACATGCACACACACATACACGCACACACACATACACGCACACACACATACACGCACACGCGCGTGCGCGCACACACACACACAAACGCGCGCGCACGTGTGTGTGTTTTTCAAAAAAGAAAATGGGCAATTTTCTTCGGAGGTAACCCTGAATGCGAACAGATGAATTTATTACTAGAATGAGAAGGAAAAAAGTCAGTAATTAAATAAAATTACTAATTATAAGAAAATATATGCTTTGATTTCTTACCCGCTTAGTACAATAGATATTATATCCAATAGATATTTTTATTGCTTAAGAAACGAAAATCTTGACACTCTATTGACTTAAAAACATTATTAAATGAAGGAAATAATATTGTCTTTGTCTACCGCAGCTTTAGCTGATGTAGACAATAGATACAAACACGTTTTTATTGTTGATAATGATATATATTTTCAAAACTACCCAAATATAAAGTATTTAAATGGGAATTTATTTTATTTTTAATAATCTGAATATTCTAAATTTGCATTGTTTCACAAGTTCCAGAAATTCCATTCTAATTAGGCATTTTAAAATGTCATGATTAGATTTTTTAGTCATTTTTGTTCACACTTCTTAACTGATTCTATAAACTCCACGTGATTTTGCTATATTGACGTTCGAAAGTACACATGAAACTTTATTCAAACATCGACGCTATAATGTCTACGACCACTTTCTCGCAATTTCAGGCCGTCTTGTGTCGATAAAATTAACCGTATCTATTTCATTATAGGACTTTTCTTGATTCTCGTGTTAACTGAAAATAACCGAAGGTATGTAATATTTTTTCACTTTTTAAATACGATACATTAGCTTTTATTTAATCCATCTATTTGAAAAAAAAATCAATTAAACACGTAGTAAACGTCAGAGCAGAAACTTAAAGTATCCACGACAGAAATCTATGGCCCTAGACATGATACGACATAAGCGTCCATACCAACGGACAGGCCGCCCCAGCCGTCTTCAAATGGAAACGCTTAGAACATTATTGACGTAACACCCTGAGAGAAAATTTGTATATGGTAAAGATGAGGACAAAACAATCACCGTGTCGATATCAGTTTTCAAATCAAATTCCGAGTCTTTTATGTAAATTTAATGCCAATACCCAGATCATTGAAAATTCTTGGAGAAATTGTGTCCCCGTAAGTTCATTTTTTTAAAAAAATCCTATTGTTATGTAATTGTCACGTACATGAATGTTTGTTTATTTATAAAATCAAGAAATCGAGATTTGTAATTCATTTTAAAATGTAAATGTAGGTAACGTGAGTGAGTTGTAAATTTGTTTTTGCTATTCTTTTAGTTTTCTCGCATAACACAAGCACTTTGAATACTTGTATTGCATACTAGGAAACTTATTTTCCAGCTTAAAATAAGAATATTGCATGATAAAATACATTTTCTTTCTTCATAAGTAAGATTTTGTACAACCAGAGTACAGGAATGGTCCCTGTTACTATCGTTCGCTCATTGATTTTATTTTATTATTCTACACGAAAGAAAATATAGGAGTGTTAGTCAATATGGGTATATTCTCGGAAATCTTTATTTTTTATTATTCCAGGCATTTCCCTCTGTGCAGTCATTCTCTCTCCCCACCTTTTTTTCTATTTGTTTTATTTGGGGAGAAAATTACTATTCCAGATATTTATTCCAAACATCTATAATCTATATTTTCACAGTTCTCATTAAAAACTGTTTTTCACTGAACATTCACGAACAAAAAAAGTAAATGCATTGTTAGAATAAAAAGAAAAAAGACAAAATTCTTACCGCTTTTAGAGAGTAAACAAACACATTTATATGAATGGAATTAACAGAAACATTTTGATAAAGTTCATATTCTATAAGGCAATGTTTATGGTTTGAAGTTAGGAAAATGGCCAGATAGATATTTGCTAAGATTAGGTTTTTACTTTTTATCAAAAGCTTCGTTCTGACCGGGACTGTTGTGACTTGAGGGATTTGTCTCGGTGATATAAGCTATTATTATTCATTTTTTTGTGTTAGCCCAGAGATTTAAGGTGTGTGGAGTCATGAAAATGCTTTTATACAAGAAAACTGAATCCATAAAAAAGACAAAAACTGTCGCGGTTTCACGCTTGAGAATTATGAAAAAAACCTTGCTAATATGGTTATACATACTAGAATCGTGGGGGGAAAAATTTTGCAAAGTTATTACAATTTTCTCTTTAGTTTTTATAGTGAAAACTTAATTTAAAAATTATTGTGGATGGTACAAAAATCGCGTACGTGAGCAGTTTCTATGTAAGCTACATGGTAAACAATAAACATTATTATTTCCATTCTTGTGGTTTTAAGAAAATTGATGTTTCAGTTTAAGATCTTTCCTTTTCGTAAGATTCTTAGCTTAATCATGTGGAACTGCAATTCAAATTGTTTGATTCAGGTTTGAAATGATAATGAACAGTTTAACTATCTTCTTACTAGAAGATTCAAACTTCTTTTTAATCGTCTATTAGTTTAGTATCTATTCTGCATATAAAAGAAAGAAATGCGAAAAAATATAGTTGATATTTTCTTGCTTTGCCCCTCAAGATGAAAACAGAAAAAGTTTTATCTAACTATTCGAAAATTAACTTAGGAGGAGGTCCTGAAAATTATCGATCTGATGTTTGAAAAATAGGTCGGGCCATGAACTTTTTAGCACCTCCTCGTATGCGGCAGGATCAATAAATCCGTAGCTTGGTACCTAGTTAAATGAATTTTAATCTGAAATTTTCACTATATAATGTTCGATCGATATGATTAAATAGACAAGGAAGGAGATTACATAGAAAAAGAAATTTTTGTCGCGTAAAATAATTTTTCATTATTAAGCTACTGACAATACTTCCTTTCTGGATTTTTCTTGTGCATTTTATAGTAAATAATCTTTGATATTTTTTAATCGTTTTGAATACATTTATATTGTAAAAGGTTTAAACTGTTGAGATCTGTTGTAATCGTCATTTGCTTGTTCTACCGTTGGTGTCTTTGGGGTTGGTCGTGCTTAGTCTGGGTCGTCTGCTTCGACCTTACTGCCAAGTGTAGCCTTACCAGGAGTTTAGAACTCTTGACGGCATCGCTCTCAGAGTCATTAAACCACACAAACCCCTCCATCATGACAAGAAGCGACCACCAGAGGTACGCACATAGAAACATACACGAATAAACGCACATATATATTTTACAGCGGATGACATGGCACCATGCGAAATTACAACAGAGTTGTAGTTTCATAACTGGATTCCGCATGTCTCATTCCACATGTGTCGTAGAGGAAGGTCATGGAATCAAGTGTGTGGGTCACTTCCTGGCAAGTTTATGTTCATCTTAAACAACTTCACTTCATCGGCTCTTTCTTCTATTCTGATTTTCTTTCACGTCCAACCAACTCTTGTAAAGCCAAACGGTGACACAGAATGGATGACGGAAGCAGGTTTTAGTGAAACTTGCAGTTTGGTAGCAAGTTTAGCCATCAACGCCATCATCATAAAGGAAGCGATCAGCAAAGAAGAAATTAAATTCTTGGATACGAGATAAAACGACGACGACGACTGTAAAAGGATTTCCTATATTTCCCGATAGAAAAGAAAATAATCCTTATATTAAGAATGTTTAGGTTATAGTGCACAACAGTTTATTGTATTCAATAAACAGTGACACTTTACAAAGTATGCATGAACAACTATTCCTATTATTCTGCTGGTAATGTTTTAAAATATGAGTTAAACTATGTACACAGACGGCGAGTACTCAAAAGACTTGCTGTCTATATACACAAGTGCACAATGTTAGGGAATGGTTCAAAGGGCATAGGCTTACGGCCACATCACGTTGAAACATTGGTTCCCGCATGATCACCGATGTTAAGCAACATCGAGCCTGGTCAGTACCTAGATGGGTGACCGCTTGGGAATACCAGGAGTTGTAAGCTTGGATGTGCGGGTGGTGTAATGGATAACGGCTCGGAATTGTTAATGAAAGAGGCGAATACCAACTCCAGTTGGCTTCGTTATATTCACTTACGTGCAAATATCCTTGGGAAAGGTATGAATCCATCACCTCTCTCCCCATCTATGGGTTAATTAGTAGGACTTGTATTTCTAATACCATTATTATCTCAAAAATATAAATAAAATTGTGTACAAAATATTTAGATTTCGGCTTTAAATAACCTATAGAGGTTGATATACCGCTAAGCAAAAACAACAACCAAAGGGTCGACAATAGCAAAATCAGTCGACGTTTTGATTTCATAATCAAACAAGTAGAAAAATTTAAATATCTGGGAAGTTTTCTAACAGAGGACGGAAAGTGCAACACTGAGATCCGAAGACGTATTAGGATGGCCAAAGGTGCATTCCAGAAGCTAAGCAGAGTATTAAGAGACAGAAAAATTTCGGTAGAAACAAAGAAAAAAGTATTGAACTGTTACGTGATATCTGTCCTCCTGTATGGCAGCGAATGCTGGGCAATCTCCTCAAAGATGAAGTAGAAACTTGAAGCAACAGAAATGTGATTCTACAGAAGGATGCTGAGGCTAGCAAGGACCAAACATGTGAGTAACGACAAGATTTTAGAGAAAATGGAAAAAAAAGGAAACTTATACTCATCATCCGAAGGAAGCAGTTGAAATTTCTGGGGTGCGTAACAAAGAAGGAGGGCTTGGGAAATCTGATACTCACAGGACAGACTGGGGGATAGAGGGACAGAAGAAAGCAACGCGTAACATACTTGATGGATGGTTGTTATAGAGTAGTTTCACAGTGGAAGCTTGTATTTCACTAAGTCGGTCCTAAAATAGGTTCGACGTACAAAACGTTAGGAACTTGATATAATAGGTAATGACGCAGTAATCTAGTTGTGGTGGCTGACACTTTAATATCCGACTAACGGTCGTTCGACATCGACTGACTCACCAACTCATTGAGCGACTTCGCGACTGCTACTACTACTACTTATTATAGGTGGGAGAGTCTATTAACTATAGAATAGGTGTGTTCCAGTATAACAATGGTAGAACAGCGTTTGGGAGGAATAACAAAAAGACAAAACTTATTAAGAGCTAGAAGGGACAGGAAGATGTGGAGGGCAATGATAGTCTACGTCCTGAAAGGACACCGCATCTCTCTATATATAAAGTTGTAACCTATGTCTGTCTGTTTGTTTGTTATCAAACTCCTCCTAGGGTGTTGGAGATAGATCCCCATAATCTGATATATTCTGAAGCAACATTACCCAGGGTACTTGGATACCTATATTTCATTTTGATCAAAGGAGATCGCCCGGGGAGGGGGAGCACCCTCGACTAAAAATTTTTTTTACTTTGATATAAATTAAATTTAAATTTGAACAAGGGAATGACTCCTTGGGTACTTGGATAAGTATATTTCATTTTTATCAAAGGGAGTCTGGGAGGGTAACCTGAAAATTTGTTTCCCTTTGATTAAAATTAAATTTAAATTTGAACAAGGAAATTACTCCTATCCAAATAACAGAAGGAGAAAGCCAGAAGATGGAGGTGACATCTGCAAGATCATTGAGTAATACTGAAATGCATCATTTTCTCCACAAATTATAACAATGATTTAAAATCAATCATCATTTTCTTACAAAAAAAATGTGTGATACGCAGCAAGGCGCAGGTAATTCTGTTAATAAGAAGATAGATCAGACGTGATTGGTAATAGCAAGCAGACTAAGTGTGTATTAGCCTTTGAGCTACATCGTGATGAGATAGGACTTTGGTATGTCACACAAGTAGGGACTCCGTAAAAAATGATACTACAGATATAGTTGGAATATCTTCGTTTTTTACTCTAAGTTGTCCTTTTCGTAAGGATTATACCAGGATTACCAACTGCATAGAACAGGGATACATTTAATGAGCGAGAAAGTGTTGTAATATTAACTGATAGAACTGTGGACTCATGTTTCCTCAAACAAGGGAGCAAAGTAAACAGGAATACACAATTATGTACATTTAACAACATACTTTATTGCCGGAGCAAACTGATCAGGACGAATACAAAAGAGGTGAATGAAGGCGTGTGACTGTACAGTTATCCTTCCTCGTACGCACGTCTGTACAAAAGCCATAGGAAATATTGCGGGTGACTTAAATTTTGAGAAGAGTTATTTTTTTTAATTTAGTAGAATTAATAGATACATTTGTGGATAATCAAGAAAGCTTAAGGGATTTTACTTCTGTGTATTATATTGTGTACAATTGCAGCATGTGGTTCTCTAGAGGTCAAAGTGTCCCCAAAGGGGGAACGAGACACGTTCTATCTTTAAGCCATCCTGTATGTGGTAGTAAAAAAGTACATCTCATCTTCCTTATCGCTTGTAAGCATCTACTATAATAAAATAAACGCTTTCAGTGCTAAAGCTGAATTAGTCAAAAACTTCTACTTAGAGGTTTTGCTATTTTACACTAGATGAAAGAAGAAAGAAAAACGTTTGCAAAAGAAAGGCAAAAGAAAGAGAAAAAAAGTCAAAGAAAAAAAGATACGATGAAAAGAAAAAAAAGAAAGGATAAAAAAGAAAAACAAAAGAAATAAATTTTTATGGGGCGTTCTGGCCAAATAAAAGATAGTTTGAGTTCTTTAATTTGTCCAACAGATTATGCTTAAATGTGTATTTGGACAGATTCTATGTTTTTACTGTCATTTAAAATTATTTGTTTCTCTTTTATTGAAGAGTTCCCTTGTGAAGCTGAGCGACCGGATGATGAAGTCCCTTTTGCAGTCCAATTTGATCTTTTTGCAGCGAAACGAAACGAAACTACGGCGCGCGCGCCTCAAACGTGGCGCACGAGATCTTCGCAAAATGACGCTCCTCCGAGTTGTCAGCAGAAGGATCCGCGGTTATGTCGACGTACTTAAAGACAGTTGTTGTTGGGAACGGATAATCGACTCGGAGACTGACCACACAGCCAGCACAACCGAGTACAGCAGCTCAATGACACCAGATATTTTCAGGGACGACGAACCGGCGCCGTACCGTGACTGTCGTTTGCAAGATACTACAAACAGTTTTCGTTCTGGTGAGACAACTCCAGAGTCGTTATTGTCGAAACACCCCAAAGAAATGCTGCAGATCGGTCAAGGGGTAAACGAGAAAAGCGTTCGTGTGATGCTGGACGGTTCTGCGTCACAGCTGAAGCGTCTACGGACTGAATAAAAGACAGCAACAAATATGAAGGAGCTTTCTTTAAGAAACTGTCATCAATTAAATTGACTTTTTAAAAATCTTTTTCATTCCATTAAACCAAAATTTTTTTCATTATTTCTTCTTCTCTCTCTCTCTCTCTCTCTCTCTCTTTCTCTGTCTTGATAAAACTCTTAGTTCGTCTCTCGCTGTAAACTTTTCGTTTTACATTTGACTCTGAATCTATCGATGGCATTTATTTTCTGCTCTTTTTCTTTTTTTTTTTAATTATTTACGTATAAAAACAATGCTGGCTCCAGATAACGAAAATAAATAAATGGGAACTGATAAAACAAACTCATAAAAAAAAAACGCCTAAAAATTATATTTGTCGTTTAAAGTTTAAGGGTCGCCAACCATCCCGAAAAATGTGCGATTGTCCCGCATTTTGATGTTGAAAGACGTGTCCCGCATTAACTGATAGGGAACACGTTTTTGTCCCGCGTTTTGAGAATCGATGATTCTTTTAAAAATGTTTTTTTTTTCTTTTATACAGATGTACTTAATAAACGCGAACACAGTTCTGTTTCACTCTAATGTTCTAAGTGAATTGTTACTTTCAACTGACAGTATATAATACTTGAATGATTATCTGTCACATATGAATTCCTATCGCTCAAAAATAACAAAGAGATTTAATTCAGCTTTGTAGGTCCGTGAATTCTTGGTTGAGACCTTGTGCGTAAAGGAATCCGCCGACTCCATGGTTGGAAATCTGTCCAGAGAGTCCGCGAACCCCTGATCGAGATACTCCATCGTACCGCATTTTCATGTTAGGCAGTTGGCAATTCTATTATACAGAACAAAACAAAACAGGCTGCAGAAGTAAATGAAGAAGAAAACTAACAGAAGCGATTATGAAGTAGATTGTAGAAGATTTTACAAGTAATAGACTAATGATTATTGAAAAGGATTTTTACTGCTACAAAACCAGCGTTTTCATCAAATTTCTCGTTAGTCCGATATTTGGAATATAACTAAAAACTATCTCGCTTTACGCCCTACCACTATAAATAAATACGTCATGGCACATAGAGGCAGTTATAAAAAAAAGTCGAATAGTTAAGGTTACTAGTCAGTTATGTGACATGCGTGATACACGCTTAGGCGATCATGTATCTTTTGATACATGACTGACGAAGCAGACTTTTTATCGCAGTAGGTTGCCATTTCTTTCTGCGGTAGACCAGTTGACATCCAAGGCTATAGAACCCGGTCTGTTCTGCTATTTACCCATAACTGGAGGGAAGGGGAGAAGAAGAAGATTCATACCTTTCCCAAGGGTACCAGCACGTAAATGAATGTAATGAATTCTACTGGAATTCGAACTCGACTCTCCGATTCCCCAGTCCGAGCCGCTATCCATTATCGTGCCTCCTCCTCTAAGTTTACTAACGTTACCTTAATATGTCATAATAATACGGAAGGGGAGATATCCAGTGAGGATCGAACTCGCTACACCTATGCACATATAACCGCGAACTTCCATCGACGAGATAGCTTCACCTTACGATGTGTTCAACAAAGGAACGGAAGATGAAAACATCACCAGGGCAAGAAAAGAAAACTCGAGCCTCGCTTTCATTACATAGGGTTCTTTAATTATGGGTTCACTTGGAATAGTCTGGTGTGGGTAGGTAAGTGGAACTTCAAGGATGATATCTTCCTTGCTACTTTTGTCTTTCCTCACGACAGACTAACGTACCAGATCATCCCTTTA